AGTGAGTACATACCACATCTGTCTTTCTGGGTCTGGGTTACCTCACTTAGGATGATTCTTTCTAGTTCCATCCATTTGCCTACATATTTCATGATGATATTGTTTTTTACTGCTGTGTAATACTCCATTCTATTAACATACCACATTTTCCCTATTCATTCTTCAGTTGAGGGGCATCTAGGTTGTTTCCAAGTTTGGGCTATTATGAATAATGCTACTATGAACATAGTTGAGCAAATGTCCTTGTGGTGTGGTTGGGCATCTTTTGGATATATGCCCAAGAGTGGTATTGCTGGGTCTTGAGGTAGGTTGATTCTCAATTTTCTGAAATAACAACATACCGATTTCCAGAGTGGCTGTACGTAATTGCATTCTCACCAGTAGTGGAGGAGTGTTCCCCTTGCTTTGCATCCTCTCCAACATAGACTATCATCAGTATTTTTGACCTTAGCCATTCTGACAGGTATAAGATGATATCAGTCTTGTTTTGATTTCTATTTCCCTGATGGCTAAGGATGTTGAACACTTTCTTAAATGTCTTTCAGGAATTTGAGATTCTTCTGTTGAGAATTCTCTGTTTTAGATCTGCACCCCATTTTTTAATTGGATTATTTGATATTTTGATGTCTAGTTTCTTGAGTTTTTTATTTATTTTGGAGATCAGTCCTCTGTCAGATGTGGAGCTGGTAAAGATCTTTTTCCATCTGTAGGCTGCCTATCAGGCTTCAATCCACAACCCCAGAGCAGCTATGTGAAGAGGAGAACCCTAAGAAGGACATGCATGGATCTCCCCAAGAAGGGGACATGGTTAAGATCTCTTGGGTAAACTGGGATGGGGAGGAGAGTAGAGGGGATGGTCAGTGGGAACATGAGGGTTCAAGATGGCCAAGTTGTGGGAGGGACAGAAAGGGAGAGCAATGAAAGAGGTATCTTGACAGTGAACCATTAAGGGGTGAGGTAATAATCTGGAGCTAGGGAAATCCCCAGGAACTCACAAGTAGGTCACCAAGCTAAGACTCATAGCAATGGTGAAGAAGGTGCTTGAACTAGCCTTCCCCTGTACTCAGATTGGTGACTAACCTAATTGTCATCATAGAACCTACATCCAGTGACTGATGAAAGCCGATGCAGAGACCCACAGCCAAGCACTTGACCAAGCTCCTGCAATTCAGTTGAAGAGAGGGAGGAGGGATTATGGGAGCAAGGAAGAGGCAGTCAGAATCATGATGAGAAAAAACACAGAGATAGCTGACCCAAGCTAGAGGGAGCTCATGGACTCTGGACTGACGGATGGGGAGCCTGCATGGGATGACACTAGACCCTCTGAATGTGGGTGATAGTTGTGTGGCTGATGTGTTTGTGGGTCCCCTAGCAATGGGACCAGGATTTATCTTGGGAACATGAACTGGCTTTTTAGAGCCCATTCCCTATGAAGGGATTCCTTGCTCAGCCTTGATTTGTGCAAGGAGTGGGGGAGGGGCTTAGTCCTGCCCCAACTTGGTATGCCAGCCTATGTTGATTACCCAAGGGAGGCCTTACTTCCCATGAGGCTGGGGTGGAGGTGGGGTGGAGGGAAGGAGGGGAGAGCAGGAGAAGGGGAGGTAAGGGGAACAGGGATTGGTATGTAAAATGAAAAAAAAATGAATAAAAAATTAGGAAGTGTTCGCCAGTCACAGTTCCCTCTCTTGCCTCTCTTCTCATTTCTCTTCCTTATTCTCTGTCTGTCTGTCTGTCTGTCTTCCTGCCTGCCTCTCTCATATCCCCACTCCCAGACAGCCTTTCACTCTCCTCCTCCCCTCCCCCAACAAAGCTTTTGCACTAACTCTGTTGCCCCTGGCATGCTTGCTCAGTGGCATGCCTTGGCAGGTGCCCACTTCACCTTTAAAAAAAATCCATTTAATGATGTGTTATTTTTTTTCTTTTTCCTTATTATATTTTGTTCTACTTTATTATTACCCCTTAGCAGACTGTTTTCTAATGAGAAGCAGAATGGGAGTGGATCTAAGTGGGAGGGGAATTGGGGAGGGTCTAGGGGGAGTAAAAGGAGAGGAAACTGTAACCATGATAAACAATGTGAGAAAAAAAAAGTCCATTTCAATAAAGGGAAAAAAAGTAGAAAAGTATGGGAGGTGTGGAGGTGGACAGATGAGTAAAGCACTTGCCACACAGGGTGTGAACTCAGATCCCCAGCATTCACATACAAAGCTGGCCATGAGGCTATTGACTTTAAGCTCACCACTGAGGTGGTAGAGACAGGGGGTCCCTGAAAGCCTCTGGCCAGCTAGCCAATCACCAAGCAACAAGTTCAGTTGAAAGAACTGAAAAAGTACAAAACAAGTAAGGTAGAGAATGACTGAGGAGACAATGTCAATTTCCCAAGTCCCCAGGATCTCCAGCCCTCACATCTTCCTTTGTTTTCTTCCCACTTCTCACTTTGCTTTGCTTACCTATGGCCACTTGTGCTTTCCTGAGTCGTTGCCTCACTTCTGAAATTCAACCCTATAGTCAAAAAGAGTTTGAAAGAGCACGATGGGAGCTGATGCATTGACAGTGGGTCCTTTAAGAAGTGCTGAGGCCTTCTATGCAGCTCAGGCTTAGAAGGTTGCCTGCATGAGAGTGGACTCCCAGTAAAAGAACAAGCTTTGCTCCTCCCTTGTCCTTTTCACCTACTTGTCTGCTCCTAACACCTTTTGGCATTCAATGGCACAGGGACTCTTAATTAGAAGTCTAGCACATGCTGGCTCCATGTTCTTAGGCTTCTCAGGCCTTAGAAACATGAGCCAAATAATTTTATTGTCTTAATAAATTCCCTAATCTCAAGTATTCTGTCTTTGTACCAGGAAAGCAAATACAACAACACCTCTAGCCAATCCTTTCTAATAAGATCGCTACAAAAATCAAGAGACGTGTAGAACACATAAGAAAACATTCTGCTGTGACTCATTCAAAGGTTGGATTTTATGGTAACATTGGAAAGAGTTACATATGGAATTAATGTTGACTTATAATGATCCAGGGTTAGGAAAGCTTCCATGAGTTAGGCATGAAGAGATAAATCATAGCACAGGTCAGTAGACTAAGGTACTGTTACAAGCATACCTATACTAAAAGTGGATTTCCATGGGCTTTTATGGAGTCACAGACATATGTGAGTGGGGCTGTGGCTATGAATATATGATTATGTAATTTTCAGCCCCTTGTAACTGGTTTGTAGAAGAAAGTTGAAAAGGTAGGGATGGGTGGGCCAGAGTGATATAAGCAGAGCATCCCATTTTGATTGGGAAGAGGAAGATCAGAACAGTGGAGATGTGGACAGTGTAGTGCCAGCTTGTAAGTTTCCAGGGAGAGCAGCATTCTATACGAAATAGGATTAGAGAATTTTACATTCTGACAAAAAATCTGGATGCAATCTACTTGTATCCTGAAAACTTGAATGAGGTTTCTTTCAGAAGAAATGGAGTAATTTGTCAGGGAAAGGAAATTCAGTATAGCATAGTATTCCAGCTGGGTCATGGTTTCTGCTCACAGCTCTTATTAAGGTTTATAGTGAAAAAGAATAGCAAATGGAGCAGAAAAACATAAAATGTACAGTTATGTTTGGAAGGTAGCAGGAGTGAGGTTAAATTTGTACAAGAAAGGGATAGAAACAAAAAAATCCATAATTGCTAAAGAGATTGTATAATTACAGAGATAGTTCACACAATGCACTGTGCCAGGCTATAGAACGGTTACCTTTCACTGTTCTGAGCTCTGCAGGAAGAGAGGAGAATTATTTAAAACCATTCACTTAAGAGAGGAAAGGAAAATAAGCAAGTTTAAAGATGTAGAAAAGGCAAGTGTGGAAAGGCCATTGTATTTGTTAGGGAGTTCAGTGCCATTAAGGAGAAACCTCACATTCTTCACTAGTGTTATGGTAAAGACACCCTGAGGGAACACTCAACCAACTCAAGGATCCATCTTGTGAAAATGCAAATTTATTTGAAAGGAGAGAGCTTGGATAAAACCTCCCCATTTAAAGACAATCATGCACAGAAGTAATTTTCTAGCTTCACCAGCCAAGGCACAGGAGCCACCAAAGTATGGTGATAGGGTGCCAAGTACATTTTCAGCTCGCACACAGCTTGTTAGGATCATCACAGAATGCTGATATTGTGGATGTACAAAGTGAAAGGGTTGGAGGATAAAGGAAGCTTGCAACAATATTCCAGAAAGCTCCACAGAGCAAGCAAGGTGTGACAGGGTTGGGATCTCTGCAAGGATCCCTAAGAAGACATTGCAGGAAGCTGCTTAGGTGAAGCTGAATTTAAATGCAAACCTAAGGATGTTGCAGATGCAGGAACTCATAGGATGCCTGCTGAGAAAATGAAGTGATCCAGTGCATCCCAAACACTAAACCTAAGGTTAATGGTAGGCCTAAGCCTAAGCCTGAGGCCAACTGCTACCTGAGATTCAGAATAGGATTGGAATATGTGGGGCTATTGGAACACAGGTGAATTCACCAATATTTCCAGAGTCTGGAAATACACATGCAGAAATACTTTTTATACACTTCTAAAAACAAAACTTCATTCTAAACACTTGGGAAATTCTCATCCTTTTTATCCTACATTTGCAACAGAAACCATGTACATCAATATACATAGAAAAATCAGAATATTTATAATGTATTTTTACTTATATACATAGATACTTATTGGGAGTCATTAAAAACAAAAACAAAAACAAAACAAAACAAAAAAAACCCATCTGATTTGGTTAAGTACTTTTGGACCAAAAAGTATTTCTTTAAGAAAGAATGTTTGTGTTGTTTTCAACATATTTCCAGAGAGGACTTCAAATGTCATACACATTGACTTACCTTGTTTCATTTGGAGCATATGTGTGTGTGTGTGATTGGTAATATTGGTTGTGTCAATGCATACGTCAATGCTCAGCATACGTCAATGCTCAGTTACAGGTGTGCCATGTTTCTAATCACAAAGGAATCAAACGTCTCTTACCTCCTCGCTTGTTGATCTTGGCATAGCCAGGTGAATAGCTGCTAGACAGTGAGGAGGAGCTGCTGAAGGACATGTGGTGAAGCCCAGAGATGAGCGGCTCATCACATTTTTCTGGAAAAGGAAGAGACAGAAAAAGCTAAGTTCACTCCAGTTCTTCAGAAAATGACTAGTTTATGCTTGTTAGCTACCAAGGGAATGGAGATGTGGCTAGGTTGTTAAAAGCACTTGCTGATCCTGCAGAGGAGCCAGATTCAATGTCTAGCACTTGAATGGGGTGAGTCACAACCACCTCTAGCTACAGGTTCAGGAAATCTGATGCCCTTTTCTGACCTCCATGGCAGGCATATGCATATGTATGTACACACACACACACACACACACACACACACACACACACACACACACACACAAATTAAAATAACTAAAATAATTATTTAATATAGTACAGACTTTAAAATCCACCAAAAAACCCCGACTCCACCAATGATCACAATTTACATATCTCAGTTGTACCCATTATTATAAACTACAGAAACAGTTTAAACCATTGGAATGTAATAGCCTGAAGCAACAGCATTGTTTCAAGAGGACCACAACTCAAATTTGGTCTTTAAGGATCACGGGTAGAATCCAGTTATTTCATGACTAGCTTTTGTACCTGACATCACGTAGAAATGTTCAGAGACAGAAGATGGGAAACAAGGAAAGGCAAAGAAGTGAGATTAGAAAGAAATCTAGTAAAAGTACCCAAAGCAAAAGGGTGGAAGTCGCTAATCAACATGTATTATTTCAGTTGTGCGGGATATGTAAGATCTGGAGGTTAGATGTATCACATTGAGCCTGCAGATGATAATACTCTCTTGGGTACCTAAATATTTGAGAAAGAAGATTGTGTGTTAAATGTTCTTACTAATGAAGAAAAGAAATAGCTGATCATAATGAAGAAAAAGAATAATAGCCAGCATGGAAGGATTACTATCTATAAAGTCATCAATCTCTGCCTTGAATCTATCTGTAGTACTATCTACTCATGGCTTTTACAATGCCTTTAACATTTTTTTTAACATCATCTCTTCTTAGCTGTTTCCTCTTGGTTCTTTTCATGTATACTTCTTAATCTCTTAATTGATAAATTTTCCTAGTGTTCAGGACCCATCTCTTTGTTCTCCTCTTAGCCTATCCTCCCTCTAATAGAGTACATCCAGGGCTACACTTGTCCTCCTGGATTGTCCTAACCCCTGACCTCTCACCTCCAGGGCAGCAGACCTAATTCAAGGAGTCAGCAGCAGCAGCTGTGGTCCTAAAAACTTCACAGCCCTCTTACTGATCATCTTGCTCCTTTAACATCTTCTGTCTCCACTAGAGAAAATGGATCCTTACAAAAATGTCACTATGAGTCTGGAGCTACTAAGAAAGGAATTTTTACTTTATAAACTTTATTATTAAAATTATTACAAATAAATAAAAAATCAAATTAAAATTAATCTGACCTAAAGTCTCTACAACTCAATGAATTCCTACAGTTAGAATAGTCATTTGGAACAGAAGCTATGGAGCTTCACATTAAATTTTACACTTTCGGTATTGAATATATTTTATTTTTTTAGACACTATCAAAACAGAAGAAAAATTCATGACAATATGAAAATTAGAAAACAATTAGCTTTATATCCTCTTTCATAACACCATGCTCATTCAGTTCTTCCTCATCTACTCACATATTATCAGAAAGAAAAAGCAAAACAAAGCAAAAAAAAAAACTACATAAACTATGTGCTCTCTCCAATGTTTAGAATCCAGTTAAAATTACATGTGTCAATATAAACAAATATACATATGGATCCAGTATAACATGAAGAAAAGAACAAGCAAGGCTATGTATAAATTTTGGCAATCAATACGGAATTTTTTAACTTTATAGTGTATTTTTGGGAAATAAGACATTTAAAACAAATTTCCCATATCCAAAATTCTTATACCTCTAACCCATTGAAGAATGTAGTTGTACATGTGTTCCATTTTCTCAGAAGTATTGAAATATCCTTAAGAAAAGTAACAACATTCTAAGTAAAATATCTCCATTGTAACCTCAGGTATGTCTATACCTGATTAGTGAGATATAAATGTGAAGGCCTAGAACTTAGCTTTACAGGCTCCATCTTAGGGAAAGGGGCACCATCTCAGACCACCTGCTGTACTCAGTTCCGGGAAGGACCAGAGCAGTATCCTCTTGCAGATATCCTGTCTGTGGTTTATGGCCCTTGAAGATATCTAGATAATCCTGTTGAGCAGTCCAGATAATCCTGTTCAGCAGGTTGTGGTTCCCCACCAAAAGTCTAACTCAATGGTTTCAAATGTGGTTTCGCACCCAAAGTCTAGACCAATAGTTTCAAAAAATCACCTTGCCCCTTCTACCCAATCCCAAGTTGCCAATTTATGGCTTGTGTTTTTTTTCCCTATAAAAACCCTCTACACCTGGGCTTGTGACTGCTGCCACATTGCCTTCCATCTGCTGTGCAGTGGCCCAGGTTGAGCCTGAATGAAAGGACCCTTACATGCTTGCATTGGAAACCGGCTTCTTGGTGGTCTCTGGGAGTTTCGAGAAACAAGTACAACAAAATAACCATTCATTGCTCCAGAATCCCTGGTGACTCAACTCCACCAAAGTGAATGTTCAAGGTAAAGTCAGAGGATGCTCTGGCATCTGCAAATGATCAGTTGGAATGAGGGTTAAAGGCCTCAGAGCCTACAGTGGCTGCCTCATCTTCTTCTCCACCACTGTCTAGACACAATGACTTCTGTCTTCTTCAGTGGCAAGCCACCTCCTGCTAGGAGACTTCACATTTGCTATTCCAAATGTTCCTGGTCTCACCCCAATCCTTTCCCAGGTCTGTGAGATGGCAGAGCTGCCCACGCCCCCCCTGCTGTCTCTTCAGCTCTCTATTCCTGTCCTTCTGTCCTTCCCAGCACTTAGTACCACTAGACTTTTCATGTATTACATTGCTCAGCTGACTTTCTCTCCTATCAAGTTTGTGGTCCTCATGGGAATGAAGTCTTTGATGGTTTTTCTGAAAGTTTGAGTTTATCTGAAAGATTGAGAGGTAAACTGCAGGACAGTAGAGAACTTCTTTTCAAAAGGATGGTTTTTAATTCCTAAACAAATGCTCACATTACCTAGGGTTCTGTTTAATAAGATGGGGAATCAAACAACACTTTCCTGAATGATTTTCACATCTCAAGCTTATAAACAGAAAGAAAAAAAAAACTTTAACAATAGAGAAAATACACTAGTTTTGTGGGGATTTCACTGAAGTGTAGTTAAATCCCTACAGGCACCGAGGAACGAATCATCGTGTACTACTTCACCATTCAAGTGTTTAAAAATTAGAAGTGAAGCCGGACGGTGGTGGCGCACGCCTTTAATCCCAGCACTCGGGAGGCAGAGCCAGGCGGATCTCTGTGAGTTCGAGGCCAGTCTGGGCTACCAAGTGAGTTCCAGGAAAGGCACAAAGCTGCACAGAGAAACCCTGTCTCGAAAACCCCCCCCAAAAAAAAAAAAAAAAAAAAAAAAATTAGAAGTGAAAGTGAAACAAACCTGCTCACAACATGTTGCCTTGTTTTTCTAAGTTATTCTCTAAGTTCCTCTGGGAACTCTGACAGGTGTGTATGATTAAATTCCCCAGAAAATTCAATGTAAAGATTGAAAAGATGATCATAAAATATGTGTTAAAAGAGATAAGTTCACAATATATACTAAGTGAGGAGATTTTATGTTTACGGTTACAATATATTATTAAATTTAGCTGTGAGAAGGCAGAGCTGCATTTTTTTTCTAGTTTTTAATTCTTTGACTCTAATTTTAAATCGGTTTTGGCACAGCTCCTGCATCTAACCTGGAAGTGTTCCTCCTGATGATCTCCTCCTGTGGAAAATGTGCTAACATCCATGCTGTGTCAGTGCGTGCCTTTAAACTGGGTTAGGCAGGGTGCTGTGGCAAGCATGGCAGAGGCGCCGAAGAGGAAGAGGCAATGTTTTCCCCTCAGAGTGCTAAGGCACCATGACAAGAATTAGACCAATAACCACATGGAGTTGGTGATTAACACTGAGGAAGAAGGAGGGTCAAGGGCTCAATGTGGGTGGGGGAGGGGCAGCTGCTGTTCTAGGATGTTTTGTCAAGGAAAATCTCTGCGATAAAGAAACAACAGAGAGGGAGAACAAGGAACAGGAGACCATGGTAAATGAAGACCACATGAGAACAGGAAGAAGCAAAGTGCTAGAGAGGCCCACAGAAATCCACAAAGATACCCCCACAACAGACTGCTGGCAATGGTCGAGACACAGCCTGAACTTACCTAATCTGGTGATAGGATGGCCAAACACCCTAATTGATGTGCTAGAAACCCCATCCAAAGACTGAGGGATCTGGATGCAGAGATCCATGGCTAAGTCCCGGATGGAGCTCTGGGAGTCCAATTAGCGAGGAAGAGGAGGGTTTATATGAGGGAGAATTGTTGAGACCAAGGTTGGATAAAGCACAGAGACAAATAGCCAAACGAATGGAAACACATGAACTATGAACCAGAGGCTGAGGGGTCACCAACTGGATCAGGCCCTCTGAATGGGTGAGACAGTTGATTGGCTTGATCTGTTTGGGGGGCATCCAGGCAATGGGACCGGGTCCTGTGCTCATTGCATGAGTTGACTGTTTGAAACTCGGGGCCTATGCAGGGTCGCTTGGCTCGGCCTGGGAGGAGGGGACTGGACCTACCTGGACTGAGTCTACCAGGTTGATCTCAGTCGGTGGGGGAGCTTTGCCCTGGAGGAGGTGGGAATGGGGGGTGTGCTGGGGGGAAGGTGAAGGGGGCCGGAGGGGGGAGAACAAAGGAATCCGTGGCTGATATGTAGAATTGAATTGTATTGCAAAATAAAAAAAAAGAAAAAAGAAAAAGAAACATCAGGGTATTTATTGATGAGGAGATGAGGAGTTGAGGCATAGAAAAATCAACAGCACTGTGCTGGAAGGATCTTTTCTAGTCTAAGCTTCATATCACTGACAGCAGTAAATGATAGGTTTCTTGAAAGAAAGTATTTAATAACAATATATATTTACA